TGTTGTTGGCTTATGCCAACGGTCACGTTGTGGGTTCACCACGACTGTTGAAATACAGGCCCGAGTTCAAATCCCCACGGGGATTGGACCTTTTTTCGATTTATGTGTGTCATCTTTGCGCAGGGGCCATGCTGTACCCGAGCGCGCGGCTGATTTCATTCGTGCGATCTTGAAGATCACGAGGTCGAAATCGGCCGCGCCCTTCAGCCTGGGCAACTCCAAAAAGAGTTGTGCCCAGTAGGCCGGTCGTTGGGCTCGATCCCTGAGTCTGCAGGGTGACAGCTTGATGGCTGTATCTACTAGGCTAGCTCCTTTCACAGGAGCTAAGCTGCAACACTTTTATATGAAGTGATTCAGCACCCAATAGGCCCTGCTTGGCGTCCCATAGGCCCAACCCTCCTTACTTGGTTTCTTGGCTGGCCGCCAGCGTCAACCGCGGCGGTCTCCAGCTTCGAGTAGGGGAGACCGCTAGCCCTATCGGCTGCACCACAGTCCCTGACGTGGAATCTACTTCGCAGCTAATACCTCCTTCGCATCGTGTTTCAATCTCCGGCGCGGTCACCTTTCCGTCCCACAAAGGCCCTGAATTGCATGGCTTAGCAGCCACGTGTCAGTCTTTCAGGTAGAATAGTCTAGCCTTAGCCTTTCCACGACCGCGTGCTCTTACGGCCTTGTTGGATACCACGGCCGACAGGTCGTACCACCGACTCCCGTTGTTTCGATCAGACGTCAATGACGTCCTACGTCAACGACGCCAGATTCTAAAAAATTCAAGTCTCTCGGGCGTAGGGTTGGTCCGAATAAACTTTTTGGCAACGACTGTCTCGTCAAGTCCTTTAATCCAACGAAAGAGTCGGACAGCGTCCGACGTTTATTATCGCCGACAAATACCCTTGTCAGGGTATTTGCTCCGACAACGCAATGTGATGAAAATGACTGAATGGACAATGCAGTGTCAGTAAAACATCAACAAGCAATGTACAACCTGATACATGCAAAATGGCGCAAAGTAACGCAGTGGAAGACTCAAAGATAAGTCCTTACCTGACCGGGACTGACGCGACATCCCATTATACACCAGACATGTGAGGGGAGGAGGAGGGACCGCGCGCATAGAAGAAAGGTCCCTCCTTGTACGCGCACATGGGGGAGACACCACGGATGAGAGATGGGGGGTGAGGCAAGACGAAGATGGAGGAGAGGGAGAAGACCAAGATCGCGATAGCGAAGTGAAAAAATAGTCCCTTGCCGAATGTCCAATCAATGTCTGCCTAAAAAATGTCAGATCAGATCCTTACAAAAATTTTGAGAGTTATATTATTTTCTGCTATGAGAAATTTGACGATCCACCCTGTTTAGGGGAGATGCAGCCAAAACTTTCAATAATTTTTTGTACCGATTAGAAGAAGACAAGGGAGAAGTTAATAGAGGACTTAGGCTACGATACGGAGCATGTTCTCCATTTATGTAGCATTGGTCTTTTTGGCCTGTACTGTGATGCAGGTCTATGCATTTGATTGAAGGCTCGATTCGTTCGACCTGATCCTACAAAGGATCACTCTTCTGTTATCCTTTGATAGCAGGTCGGTTCACGAGACATCTTTGCTTACACCTGTACTTCAACTTGGTGCCTTAACCCGAGTTTTTATATGTTTCTTTGAGGATTTTAATCATTTTTTTTTTTAATGGTCATTATATTAATGGTCATTATAAAGGATAAAGTTTCTATGAAAAAGCGGATAATGACTGGAGCTTGAGTGTGTAAGGCGTGGTGTGAGTTACAGGGAACAATAAAGTTGACCATAGTATGACAATGTGGCTTTCGTGTGTCTGAATGTCTTATGGCAGGTTAGTGTTTGAAGCTTGATGGGCAAGCCACACTTTGGAGGCAGTGAGCATGACAACCATATGTCGCACGATCTACATACCTGATTGGCTATCCTCTATTTTTTCTATTCCATCTTGAGTTGCGATGGATGCATGGATATTGGGATGCTTGTTTGTTTATTTATTGATTTGATTCTTTTTTATTTTGCGAGTTGGACGTTGAAGTCGGTGGCGGCTATCAAAGTCAAACCCCTTGACCTGTCTGAAGGCCTCCGAATATGGAGCCCTCGTTCCCAGACTCAGAGGCGTTTGACCGCCGCAAAGGGCCGAAGCCCGCCTACCACTCCTCTGCGCTGGGTGCAGAAGAGGGTAGGTTACGCAATCGCATTCGCGATTGTCTAGTGGCAGGATTCTATTCTCTCAAGACGTGTATCAGTCGACACTTGAGTGTCGAAAGTGACCCTCGAAACCATTGAGGAACGCACATGGTTGTGGGTACCATATAGTGCGCCATCATTGCGACTACTTGCGTATTCATGCATGACTAGTTGATATGATAAAGTTGGCGTCGCCTCGCTATTTATTCAGACACTCGCGGGCGTCGCCCGCTTATTCTATCGTTGGAAGGTTATGGGTCAAAAGTGAATAAGGGACTAGGTGCAATTTACGTATGAAGCTTGAATTTTGCTTTAGTGAAGTGTATCGTGTGGTTAGATTTGGTCGTCCTAGCCGACAGGTAAAGGATCGCGTTTGGGAGATCAGGGCCTTGGGTGACGATTCCCGCACGGGTCCGATTCGGGCATTAACCTCGCGTACCCCCTATGCTACAACGAATGAGAAATGCCCTCGGCTGGGCCACCTCTGCAATTACATACGAAAAACTTTTGTACGTGGTTCGGTAACTTGGCGGGGATAGACCCACCTAAGGGATGGTAACAACTCCCCCACGGGTGGAGGTAAGTTGTGCCTCGCGTGGCCCTATTCTGTCGTAGGGACTTGTGAGAGGTACGGGTGCACTCGACCGGAAAGGCAAACGCTCTCCGCAACAAGTCCTGCAAAATCCTGCGTGACGCAACCGGGAGGGTCCTCCTGCGGGGACTGCGCTCGACAGTGTGGCCTCCAAGCAACCGGTACCTCATCCCTTTCGGAGGGAAACAATATTTCAAGCTATGATATCGTCCGTACAGGCCCTAGACTCAGGCTACTTGGACTGGTACCTGCCTAGACCTAGCCTACCAACTACCGGACCTCTAAAAATGCCAAGTTTTGTCTTCTTCTGCTCGGCCTCCAGTTCCTGACACATCTACCACTACTTGAGTGGTACCAGCCTGCCTACAACTTGAACGTTTTTCCCGCTGCTCTAAGTGGCGCGGGCCTACCCCCACTACTTGAGTGTTTTTCCCGCTGCAACCCTCAAAGTCACGACTTGACGTCAGTACCGGCCCTGCGGGGCCTCCCTTGCGGGTCATACACACACTCAGGCCGACAAGCACTCAGACAGGCACACGGACCAGCAAGCACGCACACACACAGACTTAGAAAACGCAGCAGAATGCGGGAATATCAGCAAGGCATACATTCCACCGGCAAATCCCAGAAGTGTTCTCAGTCTGTGTTTTGGCAGGTTGTTAGAGATAATTCCTTCTTCTTGCCAACCACTCTGGTCCTCGTTTTCTCCTCCCCTCTTATTCAAACAATAAATATTAATAATAATGTTGAATGGCTGAACCAGAATCAATGTCCGAATCCGTCTTCTATTGCAGGTACAACATGAGGTCCACCATGGCCATGGCCACCCTTCTACTTCCCCTTCTTGAAGGCCGAGGCTATGGCGGACTGCTAGGGCCGTACCCTGATGAGCAAAATACAACTCAAAGCAGCTACGGCTGCTCTAGCTCAGGCCGCGACGCCTGACTCTGCCGCGAAGTTTCTTGGTGTAGCTCTACCAAAACTGGGGCCTTCCAGATGCAGCGCCCACCAAGGTGATGAAGATGGCGTCCACCATAGCCAGGTAAGTACCTCTGGCGCTCCCCCTTCCTAGTCCTCGTCTTCCTCCTCCTCCAGCCCATGCTCGTCCACCATAGCCAAAGTGGGGAGCTGGGCGCTCCTTCCTCCCCAGCAGCGCTGTTCCAGCCAGCGCTCCAAGCACTGTGTCGCCAAACTTGCACACCGTAGAATGAGGAGGAGCTTTTTGCTCCTCCAGGAGATATAGCGGCCTGCTTGCCTCTTGGGCGGTGACTTCCAGCCCGTGTGGCCTCCAAGCAACCGGTACCTCCTCCTTTTCGGAGGGAAACATCATTGCAGACTCTGATATTGCTCGTTCAGGCCCTAGACTCCGACCACTTGGACTGGTACCCGCCTAGACCTAGCCTACGACTTTTGGGCCTCTAAAAATGCCAACTTTGTCTTCTTCTGCTCGGCATCGAGTACCCGGCACATCTACCTCTACTTTGTGTGGTATCGGCCTACCTGCTACTTGAGTGCTTTTCCACTGCTCTAAATATCATGGGCCTCTTTTCCCGCCACGTGAGTGTTTTCCCCACAGCAATCCTCAATGTCATGGCCACAGGTAAGTACCAGCCTTTCGGGCCTCCCCCACGGACGAGTACCCTTGCGGGTCACACACACACTCAAACCAACAAGCACCAGTGAGCACGCACACGCATAGACTTAGAAAGCTCAGCAACAAGCAGGAAACTCAGGCATACGTTCCATTGCCAAAACTCAGAAATCAGCTGTGTGTCTCAGTCCGTGTTTGGCAGGTCCTTAACATCATAGATAATAGCCGCTTGAGGAGTGGATGACACTGCAAACGGCTTACCAAGCACTTCTCTATGAAGATATATCTATGCATCTGAGTTTCACCGGTGGGACAATGGCACTGTTTAATCAGAGTTTCACCGGTGCATCAGGAGGCTGAGGGTTGAGCCTCCTGATGAGTCGGTGAGACTCTGGAGAAACAGTCTGTTGTGGCCTCCCATTTGGTTTTCCGTTCTTCAACCGTGCATATTTTTTGACCATTTTTCCCAGGTCAGGCGCCCCCCTGCCCACCTGGCCCTGCCTGGTGGGCTGGTATCGCCGGTAAGGACCATATTTGTGGCGCACCTGATTGGCGCGCTGTGCGCGTTGTGCAGAGTGGCGAGCGAGTTGCGGTGTGCAAATACACTGTGAGTGCTGTGTAATGAACCCAGACTGCAAGATACTCGTCTGTCGTCGAACTCAGATCTGCACAATGTCTCCAATACCCGTGAAAGTGATATCTGATACAATGTCTCGTTACCAAATAGACGAAGAGAATAGAGGGGGAATAGGCAGATGAGAGGGTGGAAAAGATAATCAGTGACCACAAAAGAGTAGCCCAATCATTACCCACTCCTTCTCCGGGCTTCCTCTCGCCTCCACGTCATCAACCAATATAGAGTAACAAGTCTGATAAGTCCTGATCACATAGAAGTGCCATGTGGCACTATCATCGCATGGAGACAATGAAGACAACCGCAGTGCATGGTATCGACGTCAACCTCAGGTGAGTACAAAGTCCCAACCATTGACAGATCCCGATCTCCCTCCTTGTCGCAACCGGTCACCTCATGTAGACAGCGTGGCCAGTGCCACGTCAGGAGCAGAGACAGGTGGCCTGCGCCACATCAGCAATGCAGACAGGTTGCATGCGCCACATCAGCAATGAAGACAGATGGCCTGCGCCACATCAGCAATGTAGACAGGTGGCCTGCGCCACATCAGCAATGTAGACAGGTGGCCTGCACCACATCAGCAATGTAGACAGGTGGCACGCGCCGCGTCAGTAGAAGCTGGCGCTCAGCAGAGAAGGCGCCAGCATTCTGCCACAGTCCCACGTCGCCGTCCACAGTACCAGCGCACAGCCAGCGTCAAGCCGGCTTCCAGCCAGCGTCCAGCCAGCGTCAAGCCAGCGACCAGCTAGTCTGAAGCCAGCTTCGAGGCAGCATAGCAGGACTGAATGTTGACCTCCTGGAGACCAAGCCTTATGTAGTGTTTGATGAGGCAGCCTGGCCTCAGGTCTCCTTCCACAGTCGTACAAATTGTCTCACAGCCGAGGGCCTGGATTGTATACAGTTGCAGACTTCCTCTTGGTCCTGATGCTGTCTGGGTACCTGCATACAAACAAGTGTGTGCGTCTGACCGGCAGCCTGGGCTGGGTCCACTTTGATTTTGACTGTTGGGCGTCAGGCAGTTGACTTCGGTCAACTGTCGCCGCTCAGGCCCTGAATTTACTTAGGGTCTTTTCTCCCCTGTGGCCTGAGTCTGAGTGGTGGCCTGTCGAGGCCCACAAGGCATACTTCATGGGTTATTGCAGCTGTGTGCAGGGGGTGGGGTTGTCTGGGAGTGGGGTGCAATATATGTGCTTGTGCTGTTGAGTGCTTGCATAGACTATCGGGCATGTGCGTTTCAGCGGAAAGCCGCCAATGTAGCCCGTTTTAGCTGACATTTAAACTTTTGGTTTTGAGCATGTTCATTCTGGCTCCCTGTTACATGCTGCGTCTGCAACAGGCTGCACGGGCCATTTTCAGGCCCGTGTCGTTTTCAGCCTGAAAGCCTGAAAACAAGGGCCTACATGCCCTGTGTCGTTTCAGCCTGAAAGCCTGAAAACAAGGGCCTACAGGTCCTGTGTCGTTTCAGCCTGAAAGCCTGAAAACAAGGGCCTACAGGCCCTGTGTTGTTTCAGCCTAAAACAGGGCCCTCCAGGCCTCGAGTCTTTTCAGCCTGAAACAGAGGGCCATTTTCAGGCCCTCATAAGATTGACCTGCCCTGAAACTTAGGCACCAGACCAGGGTTTTAGCACAGGCCATTTTGGGCCTGTTTTCAA